ATTTTAAACGATTCAAATAGGAATAAAAATGTACCAACAGTGATAGAGGGTTACTTATACAAACGCTTAGAAATAATATTCTAACACCAACTCCAAACACTCAGCTCCACCACTTTAATCACACAAACCTAATAAACAAAACCTCAAATAAATTAATATTTTTATGTGTTACATACACCCACAAAAGCCCCACCATATTAGATTAATGTATTGCTTTAATATCCAAGTGATCAAACCATTCAACCCAACTTTATAGCCAAACACACCCTTACCCATGATACAAAACTCCATTGTTTCTATTACCCACCCAAAGTTACACTTACACATTGCACCCAATTCTCAAAACCTAAGTAGACACCTATAGATCTTCTAAATCCCCTTAATGCATTGCTTGTTAAATTCCTCAACATAAACTTAATAATTAACAGTAAAGACAGATTTTACCTTAGCCAATGGGTGTCCCAAAATCACCAATGTGTTGCCTCCAATCCCTATTGCAGCCTCACTTGAACCTCTCTTCTCCTTTTCTTTTCTTTTTTTTTCTTTTACCTTCTCAAACCCTAGCCGCCTATGGAGCAATTCATAGCCTCTGTTTTGTTTGTTTTCCAAGACTTAAAGCCACAATAGGTGGGCTTATTAACCTAATTTCTCAAAGTTACAAAATTACCCATCTAAGTAATAGGAAATATAATGCCATCTCATAACTAATTCTTTGATATTAATAAATGACTCATATAAGTTAATTTAATTACTAATCTATCCAATAAAATAATAATATTTAAAACTTGGGTTTTACACCTAAGGCATCGAATGTCACTATACCAAAGCATGGAAAAGGATGCAACATGACATGGAATAGCCCAAATTACAGCCCTAAAACAACATGAAATATGGTCCTGAAACATGCAAATATGGCACACAATGCAAGCTAGGGGGGGCCGGGTACCGAAACTAGTGAAGTGCGTTACACTAGAGGTACCCGAAACAATGCACCAAAGGCAAAACCAACCCCAAATAGACCCTAGGCAGGTCTGAAATAGTGGAGAATTGACCTAAAATGGTGGCTCGGAATGCAACGGAATGGAGCTCATTCAATGGTCGGTAAAAGGGGCATACAAGCCCGACTCTCAAACACATTAAAAGAGACGAAAACACGGCAATATGGCATTCAAGTAAGCTCTGAAATGTGATGAATGATAGGCTCAAAACATGAAAATATCTCAGTACATGCATGCAATGAACTTCAAAACTCGA